AAAAAGTCAACCCGCCTCGCCCCGCACCGCAAAGCAATTTTTTTCTTTTCAACCCGCCCCACCGCACCCGCATAAATCCGCCCCTCAGCCGCCCCGCTTAAACTTTCTTCAACTTTTTATTTGCTTTTTGCATTAATCAGTAGATATTTTTTATCGCATGAGAAGACTTCTTACTTTTTAATATGATATTTAATAACAAATGTAGAAAACTTAAAGACTATGATTTGCAAAGTTGCTATATACCGTAATTGTAGTAATTAGCATTGAAATTAAGTTGTATTCTAATAATTATATACTAGAATATTCCATGTTGGTCAACTTTTCCTACGTTGTGTTACCACAAAATCTTAGAATGTCTTGGGCTGCCAGTCATAGTACTAAGGATTTTCACCTACAGGTGTTATTTGAATAATATTTCAAAATAACCTTTTAGAAATAAGCTTTTGCTAAGTCTTTTGGATTTATATTGTTTTAAGAGTTTTGCCCACAAGAAGAAAAAAAAACTTCTGATAAGTGTCAAGCTACAGACCTTTTGGAAAGAACCATTCAACCATTCAAGTGATGAATCGACATGATTTCCACAACCGCAACCCTCCGCCCCGCATACATTTTGTTAAGAGATTTGAACCCGCACCACCCCACATGCTCCCTAACCCTCACTGCCCCATTGCCACCCCTAGCTAGGTTAGTCATCTAGAGACGGTTGCATACAAAGGTGGATCCAATTGAAGAAAATTAAAGTTGGCCTAAGACTCGTGGGAGCTGACCTAAAACACCTTTATCCACCTACCTGCCTCCTCTCTACTTCTCTTCCCTCAAGTCCTGGAACTTATCCAATATTCGGTCTCCGTCAATTCAACTTCCGCATTCACCTGGTCCATTTTCTTTTCAAAACTTTTGACTGAGAAGACATCCTATATTGTATCTTCATATATTCAATAGGTATTATACTAGTTTTCTTCGACATTTAGTTTTCTGTATCTTCATATATCCAAAAGGGGCTTGGGGCAAAATGTAGTCCCTCGCGTTTTTAGAAACACAAATTCCACGAAGCACCTTTTTTTCCCTGGAAGGGGCTTGGGGCTGACGGATGCATGCACTGCAACAAGAAAATAATTGAGCAAGAAAAAACCAAAAATTTACATAAAACTTACAACTAATACTTTCCCTGTTTTGGGAAAATCTAGTGCTAGTGTCCCCGAGAATGTTAGGCAGTATTAGCAAATTGACACCTCAATATTCGCACACGAGACATGTAAACAAATAGATCCGACTTTTAAGTTATATGCACTGTAATTGTATATAACTTTTGGAGTAAAAATTCTTGAAAGTGCATATAACTTGAACTCATTTGATCTATTACACCGTTAAGGTTGAAACAACCTCCTTATCTGACCCACCTTTTTCTCATCAAGTCTGAAGTTCCGAGAGTAAAAAGTGGTAATGAATCACTCTTCTTTCAGTCGCTCTTAACTGGATTAGTTCAACTAATATCTGAGGATGAAAACGATCAAGAAATAATATCTAATGAAAGATGAGAATCAAATATATCTAAGGGATGCCGTTTCAGAGCCGATCTGCTATGCAGAGAAGAACTGTACTGTACTGAAAATATAAATAACCATAACCAGGTTGTCATTGTACTATGTACACAAACATCCAATGATTTTTCAACACGCGAGTTTGGAGTAAGGAAAATGTCTGTCTTAGCGTAAGAGGGAATTTAGCAAAAGACGTTATGAAGTATGTAACTTAGCAAAGGCGGGATAAGATTATTTAGCGGTCCTCCATTGCAGCTCAACTTGAATCCGTCCATTTTTTGAATCTATGAGGTGGTACTTCTCGTTGATCCTTGTGTTGTGGACGACATCTGAAAGACTTATATCAATATACCCTAACACTTCCTGTATTAAGAAATACACCCAGAAAAGTGAAAGCTTTAGTAGTGCAACGAACAACTGAAAACAATAGCATATAGAAGCAGCCTACTCCATCCTTTCTTGAATACGTGTTATCTTCCAAGTATAATAATACTACCTTCCATCTGCTTTTTGACTTCTCGAAAACAGAAAATATAATATTTTATTTTCAGAGAATGTTACTGCTTAATCGCCCATACTAAATTGATCATAGGATACATGGCACAGCCCTATATACTATATATCTAAAATTGATAATTGGTGAGTTGGCAAGAGATCAAAAGCTTATGCAGCTCATATTTAGGGATACTAGGGCATGGTTATCTCTTAATTTTATTTCTACTAGGAAAGTCATGCCCTAACCATGTCAAGTCAGTATTTGAAGCCACATATAAAGTTAATAAATTCATTACTATTAGGGAAAGTATTGTACTAATGTTTTCTTTCCCAAAAGAAGGTCCATAAATTCATTGAATTAATTTTTTTAAAATACTCATTATTGCTAAATGAAAACTCTGAATTAATTAAAGATGATAACTCTTTTTTGGTGTCCTGGGAGGAAGGCCATGGGAAAATTTGCAGGACAATATAAACAAGAGAACATATTTCTTAGGAACTCATTAAAATAGGGAGACCAGTAATATCTCATGAAATAACTAATGGCAGATGGATTTGAGCTTTTGAAACTAAAAGATGGCATTATTATGATTTCTAAGGACACTTTGACTCATACACTAGATGATGATCTTAAGTTCTCGACAAATATTACTTGCAGCATTCAGTCTGCTGATGAGGAAAATAAATAAGAGTAAACTGCAACTTACGTACCTTTGGATGTAGAAGGCCAATCCTTGTTGAGGTACTGATAACTTCCACATGCAGTTTATCATTCACGGGAGGCTCCTCCAACACAAAACTAAACTCCTCTTCCCATCTTGGATCCCTGTTCTTCTTCACTTGCTGCAATCACAATGGAGAAATCACTTCTAGTGCTTACGTGGGCAAAATTCAGCAGTAGTATGGGACATTGATGAAATTCAAAGTAGTTACACAGTAAGAAAAGCTTTTACACAAAGGTTTCTTATAAGATGACCTCCATAAGTTGTTACGTATGACCTAAGTAGATTAACAATGAAGGCAACAGTGCAATTTAGAAACATAAAAGGGGGTTAAATGCTAAAAAAACAATTCTAATTCTATATATTCCTTCTTATTATTATGCCTTAATCTCAGAGAAAAAGATCAAATGTTGAATCCATTTATTTTTCTGGTATTCAAGCAGGTTGGAATATTTATTATCATAATAATGGTAGAAACGAAATCATTTTTGTTTTGATATTCTATACAAAATCCTATAACTTAATTAATAAGTCTAAGTAGCAGAAGTCTGTTTCTAGGGATGTTTTATCAATTTCGTTCCATTTGTATTTGTCGAAACTTTCAATAAATTCCAACTCAATTCAATTTAAGTAGAAAAAGAGAATTTGATCAACCTTATCATTGTGAAACTTACATAAACAGCAGAAGGGAAAAATTTCAGTCATCCAAATCAGGAGAAGAAAAAAACAGATAAATAAAACATCAAGGAATCTTTCATACAAGTGGCGAAAGGTCCCTAACCTATTTCCATCAAGAAAACAAACTTGCTGGTGATACCGATGTTATGCTTCCAGAAGGTACTTGCCCCTAACCTATTTCCATTAAGGAGTTAGGGGATCCGGATTCTGGAGAAAATGGTGGGTAATGAAAAAGCACAGGTTGGAATCTTAATATCCTGTTGTGGAGGTATCGGCTATTTAATGCGGAATCAGCATAACCTTGCTCATACTATGTAGGCACATTATTTCTTTTATTTTAAATACATTTATTTGGTTATCCACTCTATAAGCTTGGGATATAAACAAGTTTTAAGTTATCTTTTCACTTCTTAATAATCACTCCTCTCACAGCTGCTTACCTACTCCTCTCTACCATCTCTGATTTGACGGCTGTCTCTGTATTTGTTCTGATGTACGTATTTCTCTCTCCATCTTTCAATCTGTTAGGTAATTTCAATGTTTAATTATTGAAACTTAGTTGGCTAATGCAAGTTTATGATGAAGATGCAAAATGACCAATGCTCCCTATAAGTCCAGTTTGTGGATAACCAAATTACCACAAAGATTAGTAGTTTTAAGCCTAAATAATATATTGTACTGAAGTAAGTTAATAACGCAATATGTTTAGAACAACGTCGAAATGTGTAGTATGAGTCGATTATGAGGATTTATTATATCCAAAAATCAACATAGATAAAGTAGTATTGACATGCAGATTTGAGCTAAAACTAGGAGACTTCCAATTAAGCGAAGGGTCAGGTTAAATTAAATTGGGACATTTTGGGGGGGATGTTAAGTATCGTCTTTTCACTTGTGGGGCAGAGCTGCAGTCAGGTTATAGGTTCAAGGTCAGGAGCTTTTATAAACCATATCTTAAGGAGAGAGCAATGAAGGGCTAAAGAAAGAGGCAAGTAGGCACCTTAGTTTTTCTCTCCTCCCCTTTAAAGATAATCCTGACATATGGATTAGTGTGGTTCTTTCCTTCAACATCTTCAGCTTGATGGACTATAACTACAAGGACACCTCCCCCTGGTGGCGTTCCTTCGGGAGCTTTTAAAACTGTTCCAGCCTCTTCAAAATCTTTTGGCAAATCCTCCTCCTTAAACGGTTTATACGTCAATTCTACTACAATCTGTCCACGTTGCTTGTCATTCTGAACATCATTCAGATCCATATTCTTCAGGAGATCAAGTGTCATAGTTTTTGACTCATCAGGAGTCAAATCTCTCAGCGGGACGCTATTCGTACCCATCTTGTCATGTTTCCCTATCTGATACAGAAGGCAAAAAGAAGCTTGAGACACAATAAGTAAAATAATCTAAATGATTAAATCTTGAAAGTTACCTGTTCCCAATCATAAACAGAGATCTCCAATGCTTGTGATTCCGGATCTTTAACTACCATACTAAATTCCTCATTCCACTCTGGATTCAAATTACTATGCTTCACCGTGGTCTTTTTAGATGGAAGCTTTGACTCTGTAAGCTTAAGTTTTACATAAGGATCAGATGCGCCCAATAAGTCCTTCTTTCTCAACTTCATTGCCCTCAAAATCTTAACATGTAAAATCCCAACTGGTCTTTTCATGGCTCTACATATTCCCAAAATGAAATAAGTTATTACGAGGAATTTGTGAAGTGAGTCAAAGAATGTGGGAACAAAATCTAGATGTAGCATACTTGGATGGATCCAAAATTTGTACTTCTAGAGCTTTAGGCCATAGATACATGTTAGCAACTTGATCTTTAATTGTCTCCTGCAAACAAAGCTCTAACTGATATTATCACATGATCTTTAGTAACAGCTAAACAACTACGTTATCCCAGGCACATCTTCACAAAGCAAAGCAGCAGAATATCTAACAGGTGATTCACCTCCTTAAACATCAAAACTTACAACTCTGGATTCTATCAAGACATTTATAATAATTTTCTAGCAGCTTTCAAAAGCCAAAAGCTTACACTCATACAAAAAAAAATTAACAACTTTCAGGGTTTTTTAAATGACCGAGGATTCCGGAGGGTTAGTGGCACACGGTTCGGAACTCGGTGGTTAATGGACCGCCTCTCAGCCCTATTCCACTTAATATCAAGCTTTTGTCAGTGGCACGGTTTGAACCCACACGCGTGTCTAACCACACGTCAGGTATTGTGCTCTAACAACTAGACGCCCTTGGGGGAAATCAACATTTCCAGGATCTTTTGGGCAAATAGTCAAATACAGCAAACATAATATTTCAAAAAGAAATTAATTGACATAAAAGACAATAATACCTGGACAAACCTGTACAACCCAGGAATGGACATGAGATCAGCACCCAATAACTTCAACCCGAAGTCAACATGTGGCTAAAAACCACAATAAAAAGAGGAGGACGTTAACAAGACAGTAGCATAAATACACAATCATACATTGAACAAAAGCAATAGATCTTCAAAATGGAAAGTAAAACCAAAGCAGTCATACTACATCCAGGACATTAAGAGCAACTAAGTACGTAATGGTGCACTTCTGCATAGTGCACGTCAAGAAAATTCAATCCGGAACATGTTAACATTCTCGGGATAGAGAAAAGGACACTGACCAATGATACTGTCTCAAGTTTTTCACACCATTATGAAGCCAGGTGGCTTGACACCAACCACAAAACATTTAACTATCTGCCATTACTACTACTGGAAGCATGTTTGCAAGCAACATGCCTTCTTCTCCCAGAAATGTGACTGACATACCTTCTCCATAAGTGACACAAAGATTTTGGCAAAACAAGGAAAGCTCGGAACTAGAGGCTTCAGAGTAATACGTGGAGCTGCAAAGATCTGCAAGTCGATAACCTGAAATATCCACCTAAGCAATTACAACTTTCTATCCAATTACAGCAAATGTAGGCAGGCACTTTATTTTTCTCAAAATTTGGCAAAATGCAGAACAGTTAAAAAAAAATGCAAAACCTGAACAGTTGCTTTCAATCCAAATGCTTTGACCGCAACAGTGACATTAGGATTGCTGGCCCATTTTAAGTATGGTTCCATCATCAACTCTTTCTCATCAGTAACATAGACCTTCATACCTGCCAGCAGCAGAACCTTAGGTGAAGTTTATGTTGAAGCTAAGTCAAAATTCCTATAACACCTTACCTTATTTATAAACCATCACATTAAAGGATTTAGATCACAATTTCATTGCATCCAAGTTCTGACATATACCAAGGGTCAAGAAAGCAGTTGAGAGGGAGAAAGAAGATGAGCTATCGCAGCTGATCTGAGCAACCAGTAAGAAGCATGGGAAGAGGTATATGAAAGGTGTTGCACCAACTCTATGAAAGAGAGAGAATATCTACCACCACTGTTCACAGAAATTCATAAACAGAAAAAACTCCCCAAGTAACTCCGCCAACTAGTTCGTTTCACATTTCACCTTCCCTTCTTATCTGTACAAGACGTTTAAGATCATGAGGAAAAAACTCTTATTATGTGTCGAAACGACAGCATCTGCTAGTTTGAGGGTTAACTCCTTCACAATTATATATTAATGCGAACTTCAGCTTAACAAATGGAGCAACTACAAAGTAACGCATTGCATTCTCTGATGCCATAACCATATTGTTATCCTACATAACTGATACTTCTTCTTACGCAGAACATTTACCTAGCCAACTAAAACATCAAGACCACTAAACAATTATCATCTAATGCATTTCTACGATAGGAATGGAAAGAATACGAGTAAGAGAGGGCATCTTCTGTATCTTATTCTTATGCCACATTTTAATTTCCTAGTAAGTCACAACACTATCTAAAAATAAAAGGACCAACCAATTTTGTTAATGGCCATTAAGAAACCACTAACCTTGGAAAGTAGGTGGTAAGGACCCCAAAGTCAGTGTTTCAAATTCAACAGAGTCAATTTTATACTTTGGGATTTGCTCCGCAATAATAGGTGCAGCAACATTCTTCGCAGTCCTGCAAATAGCCTGTTTATATAAACTAGGTCAGTTTACTTCCTTTTTTGATAAATATCAATGAGAAAGAAATTCAAAACACTGTTGGGAAATGGAGAATACCTTGTCCAGATAAGGCCACATGAGCTCAAGAAATTTGTTGAGCCAGTCCACCTTCAGCAACAAACGAAGGAAATAAAAATATAATTCACAGCTCAACTTCAAGGATGCAGGTTAAACATGTAACTACATACATACACGGTCATAATCCGGACATTTAACCCAAATAGGAATTTCAGGAAGTAATTGCTGCAAGCTTTGAGTGTCTCGTTCGACCAATGGACGAATAACAGGGTCCTGATTGAGAAAATGAAAACCATTAGTTGTTCCAAAGGTGCTGATTGTGTAAAATAGAAAATGTAATCTCCTCCACTGATAGAAGTGCAGAAGTGAGACATATGAAATATATCAATGAGCAAGAAGGAGAAGAGTTTAGCATGAGTAAAGTTTGTCTCAACAACATGGCTGCCCACTGAGATATCACATTAAAGTAATGATATATTTCATAATTTTAAGATAGTAATTAAAAACAGTAGTGGAACGGATGCCAGCTTAACTTGGAACGGATGCCAGCTTAACATGGTTAATGATCTAGTCAATCTCACGACTTCTTTTTTTGTTTGGGAGGGCCAGGGTGGGGGTGGGGGGGTGGGGGGGGGGGAACAGTTATGGAATTAATAAATAACAATAACCAAGCACTAATACAGTGCTTCTGATTACATCATCTGGGATCCCCATATACAAAAACAAAAAGAAAAGATCCCATTTGTACGAAATGTCTATTCCTGCAGTGAAATGATGTAATCTAGCATGCTGTCCTCATCATTTACATCTTGAATGTTGCACCAGAAAGCCAAAACCATAGACATCTGAACTTTAACAACTGTATAGAGTCTCTTTTCCTTCAAAACACCTCGAGTTTCTCTCTCCCCACAGGGTCCAACAGATACAAGCAGGTATTGTGATCCATGCTCTTTTCAGAGAATTTCTAATCCCACCACTTCTCCAGCTAGACAGCAATTTTTACTGTTTTAGGCATGACGAATGATACGTTGAACAAGTTGAAGAATAAGTTCCACAGTTGTCTAGCAATTGTGCAGTGCATAAACAGATGACTGCTGCTCTCCTCTTCCTTGTTACAGAGATAGCATCTGCTACATAACATCATCCACCTTTGCTGTAGATTGCATTGTGTTAGGCAAGCATCATGTGCAAGAAGCCAAATGAAACATGCCACCTTATAGAAAGCTTTACTTTTCCAGAGCTGAATCCAAGGCCAAGTGATGCATACTGCTACAGAAACCCTTGTTTAGTTCCCTGTAACAAGAACCAACTGAGGAAACTCCATTTGTTTGCCTCTTCCATATTAGTTGATCTTCTTCTTCTGCATTTAGGTTCACCTTCTAAACCCAGCTGCTTCCATTCCAACATTGTGATACCAGACAGTTTTGCATTCGAAGAGAAGTGCAAGTCATTGTAAGTCAAACTCAGGGGTTTATGACTTATCCAGGGGTGTACACAACAACCAACCGAGAAAACACCATTCCTTTGCCTTTTCCATATGTCATTCTCAAACTTCACTTACAATATTCACATATGACCGTATCAGATATATACCAAAGTGTCCAAATGAATAATGTCGAAAGTGAATCAATCAGTCAACTATATCTCAATTCCAAATTAGCTTGGATCGGCTATATGAATCCTACATATTCATTCTGCTCTATTTAGGCCCAATTAGTATTCAAAGAAATCCTTCATCACACTTTGGCTATTTGCGCTGAATGTCAGCTTACTGCAATCCTCCTCCGTCATCCTAAATACGAACTGTCAATACTTTGGGAAGCTCAAAGACAGAGTTAAACTCTCATAACGTCGAATAACAAAATCATTTAGAGATGCAACTTTGCAATACACAAACATTCTTTGCCAAACGACTAACATTATGAGCTAAAGATGTGTTTAGGTAATACCTCAACCATCATCATATCCTGATCTATGTTGCTTGAACTCAGGTGTGGGTATCCGCTCCTGGTGCGAATCCAGATGTCGGATCCTTCATAATCCAAATTTAAAGATTCGAGGGTACGGATACGGGTGTGAAGATTCGGCTAAAAGTAATTTAAAATTCTAAAAAAGATCAGGAAAACTTACTTGTAAGTTGTGGAGTGCAACAAATAATTCAATCTTTCATTTTGAGAATTTCTCAAATTGTAGGCACTAGCCGGCAGCAGCTAAAATTCAATTCTTTTTGCCTCAAATTTGTGCATTGATTGTGGTCAAAGTACCCGATCTCGATTGAGCACACCCGGTACGAATTCTATACCCTTACTAGTACTAGTACCAGTGTCGCGTCGACACGGGTGCGGCAGCTAAAATAAAGAGTCCGCGCAACATAGATCCTGATGGCCTTATCAAGTTTTCATAGTCCCCCCAACATAGTCCTCCCAACAACCCAGTGTAGTTCCTCAACCAAATAATCACAATCAAGTGGATTAATCAGAAAGGATGCACAGTATTCGCACTGGAAGCTACTTGCCAGGTCCCAAAAAATAAAAATAAAAAGCTTGACCGGTTCACAACTGTAACTGGATATGAATATAGGTTTGAGCTTGTGGGTCATAAACTATTACAAGCTGAATGATCGCACTGTTTCACCTCTTCTAATTGTGAACATTTTTGTTCAGTCGTAACCATGTACCAATCACCTCTTGTTGGACACAAAGGTTCACCTGGTGGTTCATCAAATCTTGTTCAGATAAGTTTTGCATGATAAGTCGTTAAGCGATACTCATGCTGTAAAACCACATTTTCTTATGCTTAATAAAGCATGCAAGTACTATTATGAATACAGGTCAAATGCTTAAGATGAAATATCCATTTGCTTCATTGTTATAGCATTTTTTGCTTAAATATGATTAGCTTAATATATTTTGATAAAGTAATTTCACATTGATGTGAGAAACACTCGTCATTTTCAGCTTTTAGTATCAGCCTCTAGTTGCCATTTACCTTCCTCAGTGCTCTGGGAGTTCACACTGACAGGTAAAGGAACTCCGTGTCCAGTCGTTTCAGCAGCCTATGTAATAGGACTTTATAGAGATGTCATGTTTTGCTATGTAATGTTCTGTTTTTAGAGTTAGTTTTGAAAATCAACTATTCTTAAGTCTTGTTAATTTCACCTGAATCTTAAAATCTCAAATGATTCCTTTATCTTCTACACTATAGAGTGTAGATATACGTGCTATAAATAGATGGAAATCAGCCATCAATGTGCATCACCATACTACCCGTGCTTCCACGACTAAACCTTATTTTCTTTCCTAGTTTAAAGGGACGTCACTGCTGAAATCATCTTTACCTCTTCACGATATTCTTCATTCATAGAGTAATGTAATGATCCCAAACCTCCATCCAGCTCCTAAATTCTATACTTCTTTGGATCACAGTCCTCCATAAAGCTTGTTTCATTACGAAATCTCCACATTAAGTTACCTAATAACGCACTATTGAATACCAACAAATCTTTCACTCCAAGCCCTCCATACCTTTTCGGAGATGTGACCACCTCCTAATTATCCAACTGAAACTTCTTTCTCTCATCAATTGTTACACACGAGAAATTTATTCTCAACATCTTTAATTTTTTTGGTCACACTAACAAGTGCGGACATAAAAGACAAACAATGTGTAGGGATGCTTGACAAGGTTCTATTAATCTGTACTTCCTTAACCTCTTCGACAATGACAACAACATGATCATAGACTTACACCATTTAAGAAGGCCGGAGTCCTCTATGAAGAGTTGACCAAGTTTGACTGAGGGTTGAGCAGGGATCGATCACGTCTGACCAAGATATTGACTATAGCATTTAGACTTCCAGAAATATTATTCTCATAAACGAATAACCTGTGGGCCACACGTCTACCCACCTGGGCCACATAATCTACCTAGTTATTTAGGATCTTTACTTTGTATTTCGGACTACTCCATTAACTTCGCATATAAATAGGAAGTTTTTTGGTTTAAAGTTAGTTTATGATGTTTTGATGAAGAATTCTCTTGTGAGAGAACCCCTTTATGGAATTGACCTTCACCTCTAAACCTCATCTTGATGTTATGACTCAATCCATTTGAATAATAGGAGGATAAGTCTCAAATTAGAATTGTTAGTTTCATTGTCTAAATAGTAGTAAAATAACCCTAATCCCATATGTATTAGGAGTAGGACATGTATTGTATATATAGGGCTCATTGTATCATTGTCAATATCAGTCAATAATATATTTTCTCCCGTGCTTTCTCACATGGTATCAGAGCATTAGTGAGAAACCTATCGCTGTGCATCATTCCAGCGACTTCCGGGAAGAAAGACCTCGTCGCCGTGCAATTTTCCGACGACTTAGAAGGCTGCCCGTAATCAAGTCACTTTCTATCGGTGTTGTGCAAAAACCAACACCACCACGAGGTAGATCACTCCTCGGCGACCAACCCATTAAAATTCCTCCGGCAGAAAAGCTGCCACGCGCCGGCAACAGAAATTTTCCGGCGAGCGCGTGACACCCACGCGCCGGCGAGTACGCCCACTTTCGGCCATTTTTTGACGACGGTTCTTCAGAACAGTTGGGTCGCCTACTAATTCCGACCCTACCCATCCTGTTTTCGTTTGATTCCGACCACTTTGAGATTTTTTCGGCGACTACAGTGATTTTTTCCGGCGTGAACAGTGATCCCCAGAAATTTTCCGCTTTTTCCGGCACGATATTATCATGGAATTCGTACCTGAAGCCTTTAACTCACAATCCCTTGGATTAAATGCAATGAATCCAATCCAGATGGTTCCTTTACCGGATTATATTGAGTTCCTTCAGTACAAAGCACGTAAACAGACATCTTCAGGATTATCCTCCGTTGTTCCAACAAATAGTAGCATGACTGGTGTCTCCCAATCTTCACCTTCTGAGTCTTGGGTCATTGATTCAGGTGCATCTGATCATATTTCCGGTAACAAATCTCTTTTCACTAGTATCTCATATTCCCAATCTCTTCCAACAGTCACAATGGCCAATGGGTCTCAAGCCATGGCAACTGCAATAGGTCAAGCAAGTCCACTTCCTTCCTTACCTTTAGACTCAGTTCTTTATGTTCCTGGTAGTCCTTTTAATCTCATAGATGTTAGTCGCTTAGCCAAATCACTTAAATCTGCTGTTTTATTTCTTGATGACCTTGTTTTTATACAGGAACGCAGTACAGGGCGGATCATTGGTACCGGACGTGAATCAGATGGACTTTATTACCTCATCCTTGCAAAATCACATGGACTCGCATCTTGTCTTCCTCCAGTAACTTCTTCCGTTACTGATTCACCAGATTTATTACATAAACGGTTAGGACATCCCAGTTTGTCAAAACTTCAGAAAATGGTACCTGGCTTATCTCACTTGTCCACTCTAGAGTGTGAGTCGTGTCAGCTTGGTAAGCATACCCGCTCCCATTTCCCCGGCGTCTTGATAATTGAGCGGAGTTACCTTTTACTTTAGTCCATTCAGATGTTTGGGGTCCTTGTCGGGTCAGTTCTACCTTGGGATTCCGCTACATTGTCAATTTCATTGATGATTATTCCAGGTGCACTTGGATATTTTTGATGAAAAATCGATCTGAGTTGTTTTCTATTTTCCAGACCTTCCACGCTAAAATTCAAAATCAATTTGGGGTTTCTATCCGCACCTTTCGTAGTGATAATGCCCTAGAGTATTTGTCTTCCCCATTTCAGCAGTTTATGAACTCTCATGGGATTATTCATCAAACATCTTGTCCGTACACATCCCAACAAAATGGGGTAGCTGAAAGAAAGAATAGACATCTTATTGAAACTGCTCGTACCCTACTCATACAATCTCATGTTCCGTTGTATTTTTGGGGGGATGCAGTTCTTACATCTTGTTATCTTATTAATCGTATGCCATCTTCTGCTATTCAAAATCAAGTTCCATTCTCTGTCCTATTTCCCCACTTACTTTTGTTATCTCTTCCACCCCGTGTCTTTGGGAGTACGTGCTTTGTTTAGACCTTACTCCAGGAAAAGATAAGTTAGGTCCTCGTGCTCTTAAGTGCATATTTCTGGGTTACTCGAGAACGCAAAAAGGATATCGATGTTATTCTCCTGACCTTCAGCGATTTCTTATGTCTGCTGATGTTAGCTTCTTTAAAAGCCAATCATACTTCACAGGTCCAGTTAATCACTTAGATATTTCTCAGGTGCTACCAGTTCCTTCTTTTGGAGATTCAGTCCCTATCTCCCATTCATCTTCCTCCATATCTCCACTACCTACAATTCCGGTTGCAGCTCCACCACCTATAGCTCCAGTGCCACCACCGAGTCCAGTGCCACCACCTAGTCCAGTTCCACAAACTATAGCTCCAGTGCCACCACCTAGTCCAGTTCAACCTTCTACAGCTCCACCACTCCTGACTTATCATCGTCGTCCACACCCAGCATCCGGCCCAGCTGATTCACGTCCTGCACCTGACCTTGCTAATCCTGCGGACTTGTCTCCTCTTAATCAACCGATTGCACTACGAAAAGGTATACTGTCCACGCTTAATCCTAATCTTCATTATGTCGGCTTAAGTACCATCGTCTGTCATCATCCCATTGTGCATTTGTGTCATCTTTGTCCTATGTTTCCATCCCTAAGTCTACAGGTGAAGCACTGTTTCATCCCGGATGGCGACATGCTATGATTGACGAGATTTCTGCTTTACATACGAGTGGTACTTGGGAGCTTGTTCCTCTTTCTTCGGGTAAATCGACTGTTGGTTGTCGTTGGGTGTATGCAGTCAAAGTTGGTCCAGATGGCCAGGTTGATCGACTTAAGGCTCGTCTTGTTGCCAAAGGGTATACTCAAATATTTGGACTTGATTACAGTGATACTTTCTCTCCCGTGGCTAAAATTGCATCAGTCCGCCTTTTTCTATCCATGGCTGCTGTTCGCCATTGGCCTCTCTATCAGTTGGACATTAAGAATGCTTTTCCTCACGGTGACCTTGAGGATGAGGTATATATGGAGAAACCACCTGGTTTTTTTTCTTAGGGGGAGTCTAGTGGCCTTGTATGTCGGTTGCGCCGATCCCTCTATGGTCTAACGCAGTCTCCTTGAGCCTAGTTTGGTAAGTTCAGCACAGTTATTCAGGAGTTTGGCATGACTCGTAGTGAAGCTAATCACTCTGTATTTTATCGACATTCTGCTTCAAATCTCTGTATTTATCTGGTCGTTTATGCTGATGATATTGTTTTTAACGGTAAAGATTAGGATGCTATTAGTAAGTTGAAGCAACATCTCTTTCAGCACTTTCTGCCAAAGGATCTGGGCAGATTAAAGTATTTTCTGGGTATTGAGGTCGCTCAGTCTAGCTCAAGTATTGTGATCTCACAACGGAAGTATGCCTTAGATATTCTTGAGGAGATAGGAATGATAGGTTGTAGACCTGTTGACACTCCGATGGATCCGAATTCTAAACTTCTACCAGGAAAGGGGGAGCCTCTTAGCGATCCTGCAAGATATTGGCGGTTGGTTGGTAAATTAAATTACCTCACAGTGACTAGACCTGACATTTCCTTTCCTGTGAGTGTTGTGAGTCAGTTTATGGATTCTCCCTTTGATAGTCATTGGGATGCAGTTGTCCGCATTCTTCGGTATATAAAATCAGCTCCAGGCAAAGGCTTATTGTTTGAGGATCGGGGCCATGAGCAGATCGTTGGATACACAGATGCTGATTAGGCAGGATCACCTTCTGATAGATGTTCTATGTCTGGATATTGTGTCTTAGTAGGAGGAAATTTGGTGTCTTGGTAGAGCAAGAAACAGAATGTGGTTGCTCGGTCTAGTGCAGAAGCAGAATATCGAGCAATGGCTATGGCCACATGTGAGCTAGTTTGGATCAAACAGTTGCTCAAGGAGTTGAAATTTGGTGAGATAGTCAGATGGGACTTGTGTGTGATAATGAAGCTGCTCTTCATATTGCGTCAAATCCAGTGTTCCATAAGAGAACTAAACACATCGAGATTGCCTGTCACTTTGTTAGAGAAAAGATACTCTCGGGAGATATTGCTACAAAATTTGTGAAGTCGAATGATCAGCTTGCTGATATTTTCACCAAGTCCCTCACTGGTCCTCGTATTAGTTATATATGTAACAATCTCGGTACATATGATTTATATGCACCAGCTTGAGGGGAGTGTTAGTTTCATTGTCTAAATAGTAGTAAATAACCCTAATCCCATATGTATTAGGAGTAGGACATGTATTGTATATATAGGGCTCATTGTATTATTGTCAATATCAGTCAATAATATATTTTCTCCCGTGCTTTCTCACAAGAATAGAGGAGGCCTGCAGTAGGTTGACGGCCAGCGTAGAAATTGTCAAATTAGATGAATGGAGGCATTCAATTTTAGAGAGGAACACTACTTTCACAAATTTAGGAGGCTTACAACAAGAAGGTTTAGTAAATATTACACGGAATTCAGAGGATTCTTTTTTTTCTTAAGTAGGCAAGATTTCAAGGCTACTGTAGCTTCTTCAGCATTACTAAATGTTAATTTCCTTGGGTATATGAGCTCAACTTGGGGAATGACCACTGAATTATGTAAATCTAACTCAAATAGGAAATCAAAATGCAGATATTCTTCTCCACCACCATAACCAATCTAGTAGAAGCACATAAATATAGCACCAACAATCAACCAACTACACCTCGATTTCAATCTAGTTGCAACTGGCTACATGAATCTTCTATATCACGCCCACTCATTCCAATAATAAACATAAAATTTCAGCACCTATTTGCAAGTACTCCAAATTTTTTAGATGCTTGAAATAAAATGTCTTCAAGCAGGCAAATGAAAATATACAACTTCACCGGACGTGTTTGTCGTTAGAGACAATGAACTTAAAACCCCACAAATCAACATAATATACTAGCAAGGCGAAACACTGAATAGAGGAAAGTGCCAACCAAAAACATACCTACTGAAGCACAATCATAAAGATAGAGAAAGAAAGACAGAGGTGGCAGCACCTTAACATCGTTTGGCTGAAAATAAATGAACATAAAGTAACCGATCACCAAGCCAGCAGAAACTCCAACTCCAAATCCACAAAAACCCAGTATAGAACTCAAAAAACCCATCTCTATAACCCTCAAAAATCAAAGCAAACGTTCCAAAAACAACATTTGGAATCTAGTCCTCGGTGTTTCCACTTCCCTCCTCCCAAATATCAACCGCCAGAAAAGGAAAAAATACACGTGGACCCATAATAAAAGGCTAGATAGCTTGATACTCTTTAATTTCGGGAAAAGACATAACTACCCTTCAATGATCCATGCGCGTGTCCCTGGTTGTCTTTTCATATTAGTCTTCTGGACAAACGTAACGCCAAGTTGACGAACTAAAGTGCCCAATTGACTCTATCGGTAACCGGCGGAAGAGGGAAAGGAACTGCGTGTTACATTTTTAAACTCACACGCTATGCTTTGTTTGGAGGTTGGGTTACCGACATGATCCCAACTATAGTCAGGATGCCACTAAACACAGTGCAGAAAACATTTTTGATCAATAGACGTGATGTATGAGATTTACTCATTACTTCTTTACGGGGATGATATATAATTACCTTCCTGACTTTTGTCTCACTTTATCAATTGTACCTTTATAATTTGCGGGAGTTTTATAATCTCTTATATTTATTTTGACCGTAACAAATATCACCTTTTATAATTTGCGGAAGTTTTATAATCCCTTATATTTATTTGGATCGTAACAAATATCACCTTTTCAGGTCAAGTGTCGTAGAGAGTGATACACTCTCTTGAAGGAGAGTGAGAAGCAAAAAAACATATTAAAAATTTAATTTTGAAATATTTTTCTTATTCTTTCCTTCTATTCTTCATTTTCACATCTTCTCCTTCTTTGCATAGTACTTGCGGAAGAATTGTGATTCCAATTACTGGAGCAAATGTAACTTTACAATTATGCTTTTCCCTTTCTATTTTACGTTTATTATTTCTTCTTTATTTTTCTACTTCTTCCTTTTCCTATTTTTCTTTCCTTATTATATTTCTTTCTCGAAAAAATAGCAAATACGGCGAGGCAATCTTAGGCCAACTCCATTTCACCATTTAAAATCTTCTGGGGATAAAAATAAATGGGTGGAGGAGAATGGAACGAAAATAAGAAGAAAGACACAGGGAAAATTGAAATTAAAAAGAAATAAGAAGAAGAATGAATTAATGGGGGAAGGACGACTGCAGAAGAAGAATGAATTAATGGTGGAAGGGACGAAGAAGAATGAATTAACGGGGGGAAGGGACGACTGGAGAAGAAGACTTGGGGGAGGGGGGGTGGAAGAAGAAAAGGCAAAAAAAATTAATGGGAAATTTACATGAAAATACACGTGGAGAAAGCACTTTTCACCCGCCTAACTCACAAATACGGTTTTCATCCGGTAGCCCACAAACATTAATCAATTTTATGAAAACAAGTCAAATTCGCAAAATTCGTGGAACTTCGTCAACTACACCCATAATCATGCCTAAATCAAATTTCACTTTTTTTTTTCATTTTTATCTTTTCCCTTTTTCACTTTCATTCTTATTTATTTTTTACTTCCCTCTGTATAGTATTTCCTAAAATTCACAATATGAGGAAGTTGAAGTAAAAAATATATTCATCCTTAATGTCTAAAATTTTTTTATTTTTTTTTTTTTGCAAAATTCAAAGTTTTGTAAGGAAATTCTAATTTCCCTGGAAAAAATTAAAATTTACATTATTAAACACCTTATATACATTGTTATACATAGTCATACGTTAATTATACATAAATGTATAATAATACACACTATCTGAAGGCAATTTTTTTACAATTATCTATGTTGTATAATTATGTATAATCTTGTATACTTGTGTATAATCATGTATAATTCTGTATAACTATGAGAATACACACAAATATACATGGCTATAATTATGTATAATCTTGTATACTTGTGCATAATCATGTATAATTCTGTATAACTATGAGAATACACACAAATATACATGGTTATACATGATTATACGAAGTATATATAGTTATATATAACATATACATCATTCTTCCTCCCTTTGGAAGTCATTAAAAGTGAGAAGAAGAAGAAGAAGAAGAAGAAGGAGGAGGAGGAGGAGGAAAAATTACCAAAAAAAGGAGATTTCATAACTTAGAATAAGAGACAAGAATTAAAAGAAATAACCACTCAATATTTTCTTTTTCTTCAAACGGGAATAAAAGGATCCTCTAATGTGAAAGTCGGGATCGGCTTCGGCGAGCACTGAATCGAAAAGAAAAAGACTACAAAAGATAGGTCCGGTGTGGATTGTTCAACATTGTTATTTTGTGGAAGAGGAAGATACAGATGAACGGAGCAAGGAAATCTGAAGAAAAACTCGATTATTTTGAGAGAGAGAGAGAGAGAGAGAGAGAGAGAGAGAGAGAGAGAGAGAGAGAGAGAGAGAGAGAGAGAGAGAGAGAGAGAGAGAGAGCAAGAGCAAGAGCGAATTGAAAATGAAAGAGAAAGAGGGGTGGGAAGAAAATCTGAAAGAGAAAACTGATTTGGGAATGGAAAAAATTCCTCCGCATAAAGAAAAAGAGTGGGGACAGTGATGTGGCTAATGGTGAAAATAATTTTTCAACATTATAGAAACTGGGCCATACCGGGTAAGAAGGGAAAATATAGGCCCAATTTTGTTAGAATGTTGGGCCAACTGACAATGAGAGTAATTTCTTCAAAATTAAATGG